TGTTATTTTGAATGTTATTTAAATTACTTGCACCGTTGTATGCATTGTTATTTAAATTTGTAAGTTATTTTCTTTGTTATTTAACTCTAAATGCTATTCATTCTAAGAATTGAGTAAACAAATAATTTCGTATAAAAAATAATAAAGAAAATAAAAATAAATATGTTTATTTGCAAGTAGATAGAATTTTTATTATTAATTAAATTTATGTAAAAATAAATTTCAAATTTGAGTTTTTTTCTAAACGAATTTATTTATATTAGTAAAATTTTTAAAAAAGTAATATTGAAACCAACTAGCAGAAATTAAACTGATCATCATGATTCGTTTATTAATTATTTAAATTTAATTAAACATGATAGTTTTAATGATAGCTGCCAATTTACATTTATTATACTTATGCTCCATATTAATAACGTCTTTAGTGATATTAATTAGTCAATTAATTGCTTCTGTATACATAAAATATTATTTTTAAAAATATAGATTAAATAATTTTACAAAATCAAACTATTAATAAATTTTTAAAGGCGAAACAGTTGTTCTTTATATATTGAAGTTAAATTTATAATTAATATTGTTTGTATACAATTTCTATACGTCTAACAAAAAATTGAATAAAAATAATTAAAATTTTCTTTATAAAATTTAATAAAATATCTAATAAAATTTATTTTTCTTTCTACGTATAAGAAACTAGGATGTTTTGAAATTTAATAAAAAATTTTTAAAGCTAAATTTATTAATATTTTATTTATTTAACCGCTAAAGTATAAACAAATCTTGTTTAGATAGTACAGTACATGAGAAACGTCTACATAAAAATGCATATAAGAATTTAATCTTAATTGTTAAGACATTAACACTAATTTTCTCCTTCGATTTTATATCAAATTATTCCTTTTGTAAATGCTAATTTAAATTTATTTACTTTTATTCTACATTTTATAATATAAATTTAATATAATAATTTTATCTTTTAATATAAATGAAAAGTTATTTTGTAAAAATGCCTGAAAGCATCTTTAGCTAAATAATTTACATTTCGTACCAGTAAACATGAACTTTGCATGTCCTTTTAATTATTAATAAAACTGAAATTAATATATAGAATTTATAATTGAAGATTTTTACTTTCAGGCTTTTTTCAATGACAACTTTAGAAACAAGCGAAATTTTAAATGAGCTTATAATACACTCTTTTGAAGATCTAATAAGCGAATAAATTATTTTATTTAACTTTTAATAGCATATTTAATTTAATAAACTACATATCCTTTTCTCAAAAGCAATCTTTTATATAATTTAATTTCAGTATTAAATATCAAATGCTAAATTTTAAAGAATTCCTACTATTAAGCAAATATAACTTTGCCCAGAGGTATTTGTTACATATTAAAGTTAATTTAAATGCTTTTTTTATAATTAATGATTGCCAATTTCCTAAGAGATACAAATCTAACAATTTATTACATAATGTTATTGCAAGTCAAAGTGATCCTTCGCGAACATTCAAGAGTTATTTATCATTTTAAAGATAATAACTGTTACATCTAATCAATTAAATTTAAAAAATTTAATCTCATTTTTTAATATAACTTTTATTCTTTCAGAACTACAATATTTTTTTTTTTCTTATTTTAAAATTTTAAAGTAGTTTTTATATTTCAGATGCATGGAATGTATGCTGAAGTTTTATTTGTTTTACATATGAATAAATAAAAAATACTGCTATCTGTTCTTATTAAAAATATGTTAATAGAAAATAATATGAAATATAGAAAAAATAAACGACTTTATAAAAAAAAATTACGGAGTCTTACATGCATTTCAATACTTCTTGGTCGAGAGAAATAAAAAAACAAGAAAAATGGCACATCTATCAAAGAGGAGAGTGATGATATGAAGAATTTTTACGAGATTAAATTGGAAGCTTATGGGACAATAGAAGGATCCTGGGACTATGACAAATAAACTTGAGATATATATTGACTCGGAGAAAAAATAGAAAATAGTAATTTTGCTATAACAAAAAAAATTGGAAAAAGTATAAATAACTTTTAATTTTTATTTTTCGAAATTCCCCTTTCTGGCCATTCATTTTAAATCGTTATAAGTTTTTCATATGCTAGTAAGCGTGTTTAGTTTTGAATGTGTCATTGTTCATCTTAAAGAAAAACCTTCTTTAAGATGAACAATGACATATTGTTCTTCATGTTGCTGAATACGCGGTCGTTACTTCGGGCAGTTACTGGAGATGTTGCAACTATCCTTCAGGCACAATTTGCAACTAAAAGTATTTGCATTTATCAGATCAAGTGACGTTTTTTGGCATTCCGAAGCTCAATAAAACATCAGTATTGCAGTCCATTTGAGTAACAAGATGGTCTAANAACTAACTACATTAACAGAATATCATTTATATTTAATCTAAGTTTAATCAGTTTTCATTAGAGTATTACAAAAATTATACATAAGCTTTTGGTTCATTAAATTAATTAGGAATATCTGTTACCGGCAATACAAGTTCAGATTCATAATAAACAACGTTGGGATGTTTTTATAATTTGTTACTTTGCTGTTTCTGATGAAATAGATGACAAAGAATTTCTTTATCTGTGATAATTTCGTTTATAAATTATTAGTCGCTGTAATTCCAACTATTTAACTTTCGTAAAGTATTTTATAATGTTTCTAAGAAAATCTTTCGCCGAAATTCTTCAAGATTTTCTCTTATTTGTTAAATATCATTTATTTTCATTATTTTCTGGCATTTTTGTATATTTCTATCCTTTCAAAATTACACATAATCATTTCTAAGCAAAAATATTTTCAAAGAATTATTAAATAAAAATAACAAAAATGAACACTAATTTTCAGTAAATCATAAAAAATAAATCCTTAATTTTATGTACAGTACATTAATATTCAACTATTGATGAATATAATTATATTTAATTAATAACTGGTATAATGTTTATTATCAATATTTAATAAACTAGTAAAGAAAACAAATGTATTATCCTAGTTTAGTCAACAAAGGCGTCTATAATAATCCTGATAGAGTTAATTCCAGAACATGAAATCCATATCAGTAATACGGTTATTGAGTCATCTCTCCTTATTCTACGACAGCCAAAATCAATGTTACGTTGTTACGTCATAATTAAATTTTATATCGCATTATAGCCAAATTTACTATGTCACAATGTAATTTTATGTCAATATTTATGATTTTATTATCATTGGATTAATGGGTATACATAATGCTATATGTCTCAAGATCAACATTTTTAATAAAAATGTTTTCTTATAATATTTATCAGAATAAATCATCATTATAAATTGTTTTATAAACATTTATTCAGTTTTTATTATATAAATTTCATTAAAATTAATAAAAACGATATATAAATCTCTTTTTTTTCTTATTTCCGTTTTTCGTATATAATGTTCTATGAAATAAGATATATTTTAAAAAATAAATCATATTGATATATTTCAATAAAAAATTGAAAGTGTCTGAAATGAGTTATAAAGGTTTTTTCACTAAAAAGTTTGTTGGCAGTCCAATTCAACATTTAGCTGGTATAAAGTGTATATATATATTTTTTGAAATTTCAAACTTTCAGTAATCAATGTAACCATAAAAAAATTTATGGTTTATATACTCTACTTTCTGATATAAAATGTTGAAAAATATTCAGCGATCAACATGAAATAAAATGAATTTTAAATATAGCTAACTGAATTTATAGATATTATTCAATATTTCTTAAATAGTAGACGAGAAATCAACCTTATCAAAAATTTAAGCATCACGGAAAATTCGTGATAAATTAAATTATTATATTTAACATAGAGCTTAAAATAATTAAAATAAAATTAAAATAAATATTTTAATTTTTATATAAATTTAATATTATCATTAATAAATAAACTTAAATTATAAGTTATACGAAATAGTAAGTGTAATTTGCGAATTTCAATTCCATATAAAAACGTTGAATTGAAATAATAACAAAATAATAAATATAATGGATGAGCAATATTTATAAATAAAACGATTGTGTAAGTAATACAGCTATTTATTGCTATGAATACAACGATAATTTTATTTAATAGGAGTTCGTTTAAATTTAATAATGTTGATACATGAGTAACATGTAATTTATCTTTAGCTTCGAGTTTTATTTATTTTTTTCAACTTTAAAGTTCTTTAAATATATATAGTAAAATATGAATAAAAATTTAGAAAATATAATATTTTCGAATGATACTATCTACTATAAGACGGTATGAATTATAGACTGGTAGCATTATCTGCAAGAATTTTGCACTGAGTTGACTTTATTGTCAAGGGATAATATCTAAAGGGTTTGTCTATTGTCCTTTATAAGGAAACTTGCAGATAGTATTGATCGAAGGTTAGCTCTTACTACAAACCTGTATAAACAAAGATCGTCCAATCTCTCTAGATTATGATAAATTATTATATCTAATTATCTTACTTAATGCATATGGCTAGTCGTTAAATCTGAATACGCAATTTATGTATTAAAACAGTTGAAACTAAACAGAAGAATGAGATTTTCAAGACTCGCTTGTTGTCTTTTCTATATATGCGCTTTATGAGAGATTCGAACTCATATATTACCATCTTATAAAGATAAACAATATATCTATTTGAGTATAATTTATAAGAATCGGAAATAGGTTAATTCTTATACGTTATGTAAGTATGAATATGAGAAAACAATAAAATCTTTCAGAAGTTAGTCGATAGTTTCAATGAAGTCTCTACGACGATTTCCATATAAATGAGTGTATCTGAGAATAAATAGAAATTTAAAAACCAATGTAATTTCAATGGAAGTTCCATCCTTCCCGGAAGGAAGTGGAACCGACCGCATCTCCACACACAGAAGCGAACTCCGCATGAAGGACTAGTCATGCGCTGTCCTCCTACTCTTCTTGGCAGTCGTCAGTTTAGACAAGTGCATCGCATAGGATAACCTCAGTTCCTCATCCTCCGACGTCAAATTGGATAAAGCCACAACTGACATGAGTTGGAAAATTCTAATATCATCGCTAATCTGCCTATCGGCTGCAGTCATCGGTAAGTAAAAAATATCCAATTATATTTCTATTTATACTCGAAACATGAACTTTATAGATTTACTTAGGTAACTTTCTAGACTGATTTATTAGAAAGTACGTTTGCTTATTTGCGATATAGATCATCGGAAAGATAAACATTCTCGTTAATTGTTGACAATGAAGATTTATCGCATTCACGTGTATTAAATTTCCGTGCAACATTTTCTCAAAGTTAAACTTATTGATAAATGTATTGTTTTGGAAAAAAAATTCTTCTTAATGATATGCGTGACACTTTTACTTGGTAAAAGTTGGACTCGATTAAAATATGAAATTTAGCGAGATTTTTTTTTTGTTATAAAGGTGAATACCCTTAATGTTGGATGTGACTGGCTGAGAAATGCAATCGAAAAAAATGCTTCTTTTTAATCTTTATTATTATTATTTTTTGCTACATCCTATATATTATAACGAAACAAAAAATGGTAACATGTATATAAGAATAAATATAATTATAATTATATCTTCAAATATTACGAAGTTTCTAAATTTATGAAATAAGTAATTGTTAAAAATAAAAATTAAATGTGTAATTAATAAACGTAATTTATCATTATCGTTATATTTTAATATGTAATGATAATGATGAATTGCGTTTATTATTAATTCCGTTATCTTGAAAATATCTTAACACTTTCAAGAGTTTCATTTTCATTTTTATAAGGAGATTTTTAAAGATTTGAATGGATTGAATACTGAAACTTTTAAATTTAGATAAGCAAAATTTCAAATAATTTGAGTAATTCGTAATCCTAACTATGTAATCAGTTAATGAAAATTGCTAATTAGAATTAAAATATTCGTTATTTTAGTTAGAACAAGAGAAAAGTAGTATAGTCTCTTTGATGTTTATATCAAACAAGTTACAAGTAGCTAGAGAAAGGAAAATTTGGTTGAAAGAACACGTTTCACTGTAAAGTTCATCATTGCACTTAAAGTTTGTATATACTCAAACCACGTTCTCTATTACGACCAATACTGGTGGTTGATCCCGCGAAAGGAATCCTTTAATACGATCATGTTATCGACGAGCTAGAAGAATCCAAGTTAGAAGTGATTGAATTCTTTTAAACTTGAAGAGGGACTGTCATTTAACAGGTTTAAATATTGATTTGAGGCATATAAGAATATTACTTTTGAAAAAAATATTTGAAAATACAACTTACAATCATAAAAAAATATAAAAAATTATTTTATGTATTTTATTAAGTTAATGTTTTTAATCTACAATTTAACAGAATGAAATAAAAATTGTCCTACTTATCGTATGTAGTTTTATTAAATTTTATATAAATTTAAAGCGATATTAACACGAAATTAGAAACAATTGTGAGTAATGTACTTACGGCGAAATTCCGAGATCTGTAGCAAGGCTTAACATAGATGTTTTCTCTGCTTTGGATGGGTTTGGCCACCTCATTAGGGTTATAATCGTCACCAGCTGTCCAGGAAATTTTGTTCTCCACGCTTCAGTTGAACAAACGAGGTAATGGGAAAACATGATGCAATACAAACACCAGAGCAAGCCCAAGAACAACTCAAACGGTTTGGAAGGCATTGACTTAAATTATCGACACTCAGATTGTGTAAATAATTAGCGTTTTTCTGAAAGTAATCGCCTGAGAAGTTTGTAGCAGGCTAATTTATTTAGAAAATTATTAAATTTCCTATAAAGTGTTTTAATTTTATTCTAAAGTATATTTTGTTTTATCAAAAAATTCGTCTTCAAAATTCTATAGAACGTTATCCGAAGCAAGTTCTAATACATTTAACTACAATAAACAATAGGGATATTGTGTTAAAATGTTTAATAAATAAAACAATAACTTAGTTATTAATGAAAAATTAAATATTTTTCTTCTTTTACATTTTAATTTTAAATATATAATTTACATATTCATTTTATATAAAAAGATAATAAACGTGATTTAATTTTAATATATTTTGAAAGAAATTTTTAAATTTATTAGGCTAAGAAAATTTAATTAAAATTTCGAGAAGACAAAATAAAATAATAATTATCGTTGCAAAATGTATTTTTAAAATAAGTAAAAATTATAACGATATAAAATTACACTGAGTTATATAAATATACGAATAAAAACAATTAATAATTAATTTATTATATGTAATTTTTAATTCGTAATAATGCGTAAGTGTTTAATTTTTCGTTGGAGATAAATTTGCAGCTATGAATGCCGCATACAAATGTATAAAAGCACAAATAGTTTTCTTCCAAGAAAAATTAAATGAAAGAAAATTAGTGTTGAAATAAAATCATTTAATACAAATGCACCTTAATACCTTTGAAACCTTTAAAGTATGCTTCATTAATGATTTTAGAAGTCAGATTTTAACGATACGCATTAATATTTACTGTCTGATAAGTGAATCAAAATTTTGTACGATTTATAACAAATCTACGGGGTATGCAAAATACTGATAAGATATTATTTCTCCAGAAAAAAAATAAATATAAGTACTAATAATTTAGTTTAAGAGATGTAATTTTATGTTCTTATCTCCTTCTGCATTATCTATATTATTGAATGAATAAATATATCTCTTGTATTCTTGTTTATTTATCTATCTTTGCATGTTATATTTACATAGAACTGAATGATAGAAATAACTTTTCATATTTCTCCTAACTTTAAAATTATTTGACGTTGCTTTTTCGGAAAAAATAAAAAAAAATACAAATCAATGCTAAGCATTAAAATAAAAATAAAAAAGTATGGATGAGGCACCATATTTGCCAGATAAGGAAAAATCTCTGAAGGAATTGGAATCAAATATTCTTTAGATTTTCTGAATAATATTTATCTCGGTTTGAAGGAAAATGGTATATCTTAGTTTTGAGCTTTCCTAACAGTTCAGATTTGACTTTCTAAATTCGATATCTGTATATTGTCATAGCGTAAATATAAATGCAGTATTTTGTCGATAAAAAAATATATTAAATAAAAGAGAAATCTGCAATCGGTGATTTTTGAAAAATAACAACACGAGCTGATATAATAATCAAAAAATATTGATTTCAATTTAACTGACTTGTTTCCATTCGCAATAAATAAGAAAAACGTATTTGCAGAAAGTAACACTCGTCCTATTTTTCCAATTGCAATCTTTAAATTGGCTACTTCACTAAAGATTGCTTAAAATATTCATGTGATGTTTTTCTAAAAATATCTTGCAAAATTAATTTTTAGTTGGTTGTTTATACATGGCTGGCAGGTAACAATTAGAAAACTTTATACTTCTTTGGTTCTGTATTTATCGTTAAATAGTAGAAAATTAGAAAGTTCGAAGAGTTTTCCCACTCTGCATTATAACGACGATTAATCATTATTCTAGCTGTGCATTTAATATACGTAATTAAGTAAGTGTAATTTGTGCTAACATGCCCCATTATATGTTCTCAAAACTGAATTAACCACTTCCTCTAGTGGCATCGCATGTTTCTCTTCATAAATTATATATTTATGAATATTTATAAAATGAGCTTGTACTAAAATAAGATAACAATTTCACCTTTTCGATAAACATAAACCTATAAGCTCATTTAGTTAATCGTTAAAGTGAGTTTATCATCAGAGAAAGCTTACAAATTTTGCATCTTTTGAAACAAAACAAAATTGTTTTTATTATTGATGACGTGTTAAGAATTTTATGGTGTACTGAAAAAAACAAAAAAATAAAAAAAATAAATTCAGACAACTTAAGTTAGCTTGTTTCTTAATGGATGTTGCAATTCCCACAAGAACAGCACTGATTAGTTTTCCAGAATGCCATGTAGTACTTGTCTTTATATATAGCAAATCCTACTGTTCATTTTATAAAACTAACAATAACTAATTAAAATACAACACTAATACATGATAACAAAATTAGTGATATTAATACTTTAAAAATATCTGTGTGAAGTTCATTTTAAGGCATTAATAAATGTTTATTCTTTCTTCTTTCTTTCTTTGACGTTATTACGAATCACAAATACCATTTTCAGATATTAAAAATAACAAGATTATCTTTAAATATAATTAAAATTTTGATGTTTTCTTTTTATTATTAATCCAGTTCTCTAAGTTCTCTAAGATTTAAATGGCCAGCAAACTTCTAATATGTTTCGAAACAGGATGGATTAAGTGTAATTATGAATGACACTGTAAATACCGTAAAATAATGCTTTAAGGAATGATAAGATTTATATCAGATTATCGATTAGAGACTGCTAGACTGAAATTTCGATTCCTTACTGTCTAAAGTTCCCGATTAAATTCTTAATCACGAACGAAAGACATATTTTATCAACTATGAGTTCGTGTAGGTTTTAATACTCTATTATAAAGCTTTGGCAAAATTCAGCAGATTTATTGTTAAGTGCAAGATTTTTAGGTAGAAAATGTAATAAATAGTTAAAAGAATGAACTTTGAAATTAATACGGGTTGAAGTAAATTAATATTTTATATAGAATATCCCAATTTTATATAATTTATGTTTCAAGTAGGAATAACAGTGTCAACTCAGTTTATAAATAATTAGAATATATACGCGGTATATATCAGAAATGACGTAAATTAATTTAATTAATAACTCGGTTAAAATGTTATTAATTGATAAAGAAAATGTTTTAAAATATTCGTAATAAATTTGATTAAACTCGTAATTTTTATATTATTTTTAAGTAGAATTTTAATCGCAAATCGAAAATAATATTCAGGTCCAGTACGTGTTATTAAATGGAAAAATTTATTGTTAAAATTGAAAACTTAAGTGAACGAACAATTTTAATTAATTAATTATTTATTTATTTAAAACGATTTACAAGAATTATAACATATTAAATAGCGGCTAGAAGATGAGAATTTGATAAATGAGATTTAGAAAATATATTCATTAATTATTGAATTTACTTATTGAGAAAACAGTTCAATAAATAAATGAATGCTGTTCAT